TGTTAACTTCCAAAGCAAGCAAAGCAATTCGTGGTTAAGCCACGAATTTAAGGGCCTCTCTATCCTCTTTGTAATGGTACAGTCTAACAATCATTTATGTCAAAAAACAATGGTTGTTTATACCGGAATAACTTTTTGAGAACGCCATTAGTTGGAGCCGGTAGGAGAGTACAAATTTGTCTCCTTTTTGGCTCTTCTTCGTAATGCAAGCTTTGCGATGCATTAAATTTTGAGGAGGTGCTGCAACTCCATTTTATGTTCCCTTTTGCAAAGCGCTTAGTGGAAGCACATGCCCCAACGCACCATTAGAAGTGAGGCAGCTCAAAACGAGGCTCTATAATGTTTACAAGACCAAGAATGCACACCACACTTTTCTCAATCTGAGTTGCTGATATGGGGAGCACTGCGGACTTAACTGCTGCCCCATGCAACACAATTTGTGAGCAAACAATTAGGCACGAAAAGGCTTCAAATTCCTCTGCTTTTTGACTATTCATTCGTTTTAACATTTAGAACTCTGCATTCCCTTCGTTTTAGCATCTCCTACAGCCGTCATTCAAAATGCAACTCGTGGTCCACAAATTTCATACTTTCAATTTAATAATTGTGCAAGAGACGTTTGGAGGGAAATCAAGTGGTCTTATTATGTTAAAGCTACAGTCATACTGATGGTCAAGAGACCCTTCATTAGAACCAAGCTTCAAGCATTTGGTAACCAGACGCATTCTTAACTCCGAAGTAGCGATCACCCCATCATTACCAGTGTATCTGCTACAGAGTGTTGCCATCGTCACAACTTTTTGTAAGGTAAACTAAAGCACACTCTTGGTGTTTCCATTTTGGACGCACATCGTGAACCATGGACAGTTTTCTAACTTAATTACCTCAAGTGCCTTTGGCACACCACCAGCCAAACTGCAATTTTGCTCTACCACTCAACCATTCACTCCCTTTTCTTCCCAACAATTCCCACTACAATTGCTCAAATTTGCTTTCAATTACGAACTCTCAATCCCAAGTCGGCATTTCTAAAGCTCAGTTTACTAACTGATGTTCTTCACTCTTACAAAACTAATCCTTCGTGCGTTTCAAATATGAAATGTGAATTGCTAAGCGTAGACACCAAAGAAGCCTTGAGGCGTCCATACTAGACGTGGGGATCAGGCACAAAGCCTAATTGTTCTATCGCAAAGAACAACTGTCAAACACATTAATCGGTTGGCAATTGTAAGAAGGAAGACATTGGTCCGCCTTGCACTCTATTTACTAACCAACGATTCAGTAGAGCAACCCAAATTCTTGATGGTTGTCGCATGCACCCAAATGCCAAGATCTTTCATCACCGCGTTTGCCTCCTTCATCGCCAGAAGCTTCCACCTAATGTATGATCTACTGGTTTAGCTCAAGGCTGAGTTACACTGATGCTAGCATTTCTTCTAACCTAGCGTTGATAGTCTTGCTTCAACAAGTGTCTCAAACCTCTGTAATGCTGGCACGTCTCTCTAAGAATCGTTAAACGCAATGCCGTCTCTTAGAGCATGACTGAATATATTCCATGAGGCCTTCTTGATAGCCCTTTTCTTCTTCTAGTCAATCGCAGTTTGCAATCATTAAGGGAGAGGGAGCCTGACTTCCGCCCTTCACCCATCCACACGTCGGGAACTCCACCTTGCCCCGTTCAACTAAAGGTAACCACATGAAGGAACTCATTTTTCTGCGGTAAAGCTTTAATCTTGTTTACGCAAAATAAGAAAGTTGGGTAGTGAGTTATGCAGAGACTTGAGAACGCTAGGCGTAATAGGAGCAAGCACGGTTGCCAATCGCCACAAAGGCCGTTAGCAGATGTCTCTTAGCATTGACTAGTGCATCCACTAAATGACAGAACGTCAAAATGGAGCCACTTGAGGAAATGTGCTAGTGAGTGTGAGTGGGTGAGGTGCTTCTTGCGTGGCACCTCAATCCGGTTTACAGTAGAAAATCGAATGCCTATATGATTTAAACAAATTTGAAAATGCCAAAGGGGTAGTGGACAATCTCTCAGACAAACAGATGCAGCGTATACTAAGGCTCAAAACTGATCGCGCTTCCATGTCGACGGAATCACCTTGAGTTGGCTCTACTTCAGCTTGTAATAGCTTGCGAAAACTAGAGAAAGCATAACACTGAGGCGGAATTCGTGTATGGACTTCACAGTAATGAATTGGGCTACTGAACCTTATCGAAAATGAACATTGTCCCCGCTGCTTCCCTTGGTCAAGAGAGTAATCAGTGCCGTCGGGAAACACTCACAAGCCAAAAGTACCAGTTGGTGAGTTTGCGTGGGACTTAAAATCTACTCATGTGCGACTTCAGGATGCCTCCTAGCGGTACACTCCTGTTAAGAAGTTGATTCGGGACAGGACATTGCGCTGGTCATCGTTCCTGCCCATCCATACAGATGTGAATTCTATCCAGCTGGTAGACAGGCAGCGAAGGTATCACAGGGTCACTGCATCGATATAGCTAATTCCACTTTCGTCAATAATAGACTTCTTGCGGAACATGAGGCTTAACAGCTGCCAAAAGTGGATGTCATTTTGGACTTTGTTAAGAATTGTGACCGACTTTACCAGACCTGACATTCGCGCTTCTGGCACTTCACTCGATTTTATTACCTATCACCAGAAATCACTCATATTTTAATTCGACTAAGTCACATTCACATTTTCAATCGCATGATTAGGTCTATAGAATTGACATCTTTTGATGCAATATTTTCCCGATGTTAGGAATCGTCTCTTTTCAGCGTAAATAAGGAGAAAACAGGCTTGTGTGAATTCCACACATTTTTGCGTCACCTTTTAACAACAACTAGAAGTCAAATTTTAAATAACAATGGGGATTTTTTTTCCATGTGAAAAGTAATCTTGCTCAAACATTCATAATTTAGAGTGGGCTTCCACGAAAGTCTCTGAGCAAGATGACCGTGGACGACATTTGCTACCTGGTCGGTGACATGGTAGATCTTTACACCAACCATTGTCAACACCGATCTGCTTCCTTCTCCTCTTCTTTCAACACGCTCGAAGGTCGTCAAAGCTCACCACAGTCCCTTTCGCGATCCACTTCCATTGCGGCCTATCTATTGCGCTTGCGTGCACTCAACATAAGCGGAGCGGTGCTAACTGTGTGCAGCCTAAACGAGTCGCTAAGACGCGAAATCGGTATGACATTCAGCGACTGGCAAATTTTCTCCACTCTCATCACTTACCTCAAGCGACTAGAGGGACGTGCACCAACCCCGCCTTCATCTGTCCCACCTCCGCCTCCACACGGTTGCCAGTGTGCACGTTCCATGGGGGACCTGGCCAACATTCACACACACCGACACCACTTTCATCTGGCGCAGCACAAAACGCCTGTTCTCTGTAGACCTAATGTCGGTGCCTGGACATCTGAATCCATCCTGGCCGCCGCCACGCCGCATCAGCACTGGCACCACCCCCGAGACTCATCGCCTTCACCAATCAACGGACAAAGCAGCGCCAGCATCAGCAGCAGCAGTAGCAGCATGGATACCACCACTTGTACCTCCAATAGCCCCCATTGGCACGGACCTAAACCACATCTACCACCACCACCACCACCACCACCGCCACCACCTCCGCAACAACAAATAATTGAAGAGGAAGTGTGTCGCCTCTCTGGAGGTAGCTGCTCCATCTACTCCGCTGAACTCTCCTATTCTCCCTCTCCCTCCTCCTCCGCCGTCACGGTGCCATCTGCTTCCTCCTCACCCTCACCCTCCATTTCCTCTCTCCACTCCTCCAACGAAAAGTGACCCAAACAGCAGAGCATTGACGCACAAATGTTCACTGCGTACACCAGATCAAGTTCAATTTCCATGTGAGCGAAGGCGCAGCTCTTACCACCACAAACACTGACTTGTACATAATCCCAACTTCGGTCACCACAACTTCAATTAACTCTGTTATTAGTGTATCGGTGGCAAATGTTACTCTTTCAGAGAAGAGAAATTTGCAACTTTTTGAGAAGAGAACAGTTCAGTTCCTTCTTCAAACAAAAGGGCATCAGATAATTCGGGCGTAGTCATTGATGACTCTTCCTTAAGCCTCCACTCACCAAAGCCACCGATGTAATAGCAAGGCCTTTTTGGTGAACCGTCAGTCAATCAGTATTGTTGACAAGATTAATTAAACTCTGCTTCCTCCTTTCCACCCTTCAAACAAATCTTAAACAGGCCCTACAAACGGTAGAGAAAATGAAAGACCATTTAGTCATCATCTCTACTTCTTGATAGATCTTGGGTATATGACAATGGCACCAGAAAGGAATACGAGGTTGGGACAACATAATAGCAAAGGGCCAAATAAGAAAAATAATATTCGTATATGTGCGAACTACAAGCAGACAATGAGAGAAGGGAAAACGTGCTAAAAGTCTCGCCACGGCTACACAAGAACAGCCCTGTACAGAAGTACTTTGGGATAAATTCGACAGTAATCTATGTACAGACACCACCATGAACACGAGAACGCGGATACAAGATCAAATATCCTTAACTGTCTCCACGGGAAGTAAGGATTCCTGGTGCACCACGACTGCTTGACCATGTGATCCCATGTCAGCGGACGAAAAAGTAGATTCCGCCTCTTGTTCCTGCACTGCTGGCTGTTGTTGGCCCTCCTCCTCGAGACCACGGCACAGAGCACACATGAAGGCACTGTCGGTGATAATTGCATTTCGACTACATACACTGTTCAGATGCACCCAACGCTTACAGTAATCACAAGACGTCCAGTCGACAACCTGCAAGTACAACCAACAATTCGATATCAGGCTGGAATAACTCAAGGATAAGTATCACTACAGTCTGCAGGTAATGAACTTTCAGTTTCAAGTAGACTGGAAGTCAATGGAACAACGGAAAACAAAGCCGTTAATACCGAAAACAAAGGTGGTGAGTACAGCCATGCCAAATGCTAAAACTATTGATTAAAGTCAACAAAAGGCTTAATTGTGATGCTTAAAAGTGCAACGGATACTGTTGAAATTAACTTATAAGACGTCAACGTGTCCAAAAACACAAATTCACAGATAAACATTACTGAGCACTAGGACAGAAGAAAAAATTGATTTCAGTGATTGAGAAGTTCGGTGGCATTGGCTACATTCAGCTTTGCAAGAAAAAGGTCAAAAGGTGAAGGATAAAGGATAAGCGGTTCGTACCGGACATTCAGAGTCACCATTACCGGTGGCGTCAGGGTCGAAGCCGGGAGGTTCTAGTTGGCAACAGACCGCACAAAGACCAGGGGCTTCACCTTCTTCGATGTCTTCCACTATGTTTGCAACTGAATCGCCTTCTTCATCATCAACCAGTGTGATAATCTCGTGGCCACCAGGTACAATACTCTCACTACCATAAGAAGCAGCACTAGTAGATGTTTGCGATGAAGATAACTAAAGGAAAGAAGACGACAAGTGGTTAGCCTAAAATCAACGGAATTGTACCTCTTCGTTAGCCGCATTACACCAGTGGAGCGTGACTCACGGGCATCGAAACTCCACCACCAGCACCAGCAATGAAAATAGGCCGAGTTGTCGGAGCTGGAGGAGTTTGAGGCAGTCGAAATGTGATGTGCTGTCCACCAGCAGCCAATCGCCTGGGTAATGCAACCAGCTGTACTGGTTTTCCGACAGAGTTAGGAGTAGAAGTCGCAGTCGAGAGTACACGAACACAAGACACCGTAGACGCTGTTGTCGTTAGGGCTTTATTTGCAACAGATTCAGATTTCAATACTTCTTGCTCTGAAAACGATAAAACAAGCACGGATACAGGTTCTACCATCACTGGTCTGATTTGAAGAAACAGTGGTATTTAGTAATTGGTGGTGAACATTGCTGACAGCTAGTTAAGCACTATGAAACCTAGTCCACAAAACTTCCAAAGGGACCTGTCAAAAGCGGACGTTCAACACTTCAAATAAAATACTGCGGAACTGGTCAACTTCGCAAGTTAGTGTTTGTTTTAAAAACCTGGATAAGTAATTTGACGCAGAGGAATCCAAAGTGGCAGCACTCTTGGAAAGATTAATGATAAGCGCATCGGTTCCGCAAAAAGAACAGAATCCAGAAAAGAGTAAGTAATTTACTCAAAAGTGGCCCTGGTTTTTATGCCATTAACTGTACCCTCAATGAAAAGGTTTTGATCGCAATGCACGGAGGCTACTAACTTTTCAGCAAAACTTACCGCCCAAGGATCCATGTCCAGGTATGATGATGTGTGAGCTGGACCTGTTATAGTCAGAATTAGGCGGTTCCATTGCTAGAGATGTCTGAAAATTGAAAGGGGAGCTAGCGGAAACACCCCACTGTGCAGAACTACCACTTCCACTAGACAATTGCTCTTGATCACCATTTTCACCATGAGGTAACACCATTTCTTCCTGTTCGTAGTCATCCGGCTGTAAAGGTTAGAAGATGTAATGGAAGCAAGACCAATATAATTAAATTCGGATCTCGTATCAAGATTATCAAACGGCAGCATTGAAAGTGTACTTACGAACATTAAAAAACTCACAATGTTTAAATACGCCCCAATTGAGGTTGATAGGTTGTTGAAAGGACAAATGCCCAACCGAGCAAATAGGCTAACCATATTTCTCGGTTGTAATGCACGTTCGTAAGCATGCGTGAGTATTGGAGCCACATTTACTTTGGAGAGTGAATCATTAGGAAATCTTTGAAAAAATCTTTCCAAACGCTTTTCAAAGTACGACTAAAAGAAATTTAAAAATAAGCTCAATAACATGTGTAAACAAGAGCCACGACCAAGCAAAAAACTGGATGTGATTAATATGCGAGAAGAACGATTAGGGAAGTGAATCAAGAAACGCTTTCAAAATTTAATCAAATCAATTTTGCATAAAACCTAACGGATAGCAGAGCCTCGAAGTTATTCACTTGTAAAGTGCAAAATTCCACCAGAGACCGCAAGTTTCCGAAATACTGTATAAAAAAACAGAAGTTGCTAGCGCTCTCAAATAGCATGCGCTCACGTGGAATGCATGAAAGCAGGTATTTTCAATACAATGATTGTAAGCTGGATGTGGAGGCAGAGGAAAGAGTAAAACGCCATCCTCCCTGGCTCGTTCGAGTACCCGTACACTGATGAATTGAAGATGTCCATCGTAAAGCAATATTAGTGGTCGTTTCAAAATCTGAGGACGAAAATGCTTCAAGAACCACTGAATGAACGCATCTGAGTTCACCCATCCAGAGGGAGAGTTGGCAAACTTAGTCCCTCGTACTGCACCCTCCATCATGGTATCTAAATTACCAAGAGAAACAATACCCGTAGGACACTGATTGTATAACTGTGACTGACCCCTTCTTTTCAAACAGCAGTTAAAATACAAATAATTGCTCAAGGATACATCAATGATTTGCAACGCCCCAAAATTTGGCAGTAAAGATTATTATTAACAGTAATGAACAATACACTAGTAATGTGGTGTTAAAAGTTCTTTCAGCTACCTAAAATCCTGTACGCAGCTTTCAATGAGTTTGAGACAAAATGCAAAGAATAGCTGGCAGTATCAAACAACCGATTAACTCCAAAAATTGACAAATTAACACAAATTCAGTTGGGAAGTAACAAGATGAGTGACTACAGCAGTTCTCGCTCTAAAGAAGTTGATTACTTCACTCAAACGCAACCGTTCCCTTCTACGCAGATAATCACCTCTGTGTAAAGGTATAAGACAAACTCTACATAATTGCGTTATAGGTGAGTTTGCGCACCTAAGGTACAGGTTATAGAACGCGTCCACAAACTGCAGAGCAATATCAAAAGGAGTTTATTAAGCAAAATAAATACGATTTGTGACCTATCAATTTTCCAAACATTTGTAAACCGTTTCCATCAAATTCCATGGTCTTTTGAGAACCCTTGGTATGACAGGCACGAAATTATAAAGAGATGCATGAGATGTCCCGAAGTTGTTACCTTGCCTATGAATGAGCAACGATCAGGCTATTTCAAAAAATTTGCAATTCCACAAGCAATTTTGCAGGAAATGGAGCATTAAACCCCAAGACGACAATTTGTGCATAAACTATTTTACATTAAAACCATAAGTTACAGTTAGCATCTAGGAGCTATTGAACTGAACAAGATTTCTCACAATAGTCCAATATATGGCATGATCTAACGCAGGAAACGACGCGACTATGAGTCCAAGGCTAACACGTACTTCGATAAAGAAGGGGATATCTGGTGGGTGGTCTCAAAAACCCAAAAATAAAGAATTGCTACTTAAAAATAATAAGTAAAAACTAAACGCGCCTATTAATGTAAATCAATCCGAGACGGAGTACATGACCCATCTTTAGCCACTATTATTTTGCTCAAAAGGAGATGCCAAGGAGAAACGACCATACAGTAATGAAAGGAGCAGACGAAAATTAAAAAAGGACGACTAAAGTAAATTAACCCGTTTTGAATAAAACCACAAAAGAAAAAACCATCACACTATAAAAGCACGCAAATTTGCATTTCGAGAAAAACAATCATGAACGATCTCATTTATAAGAGGCATGCATTTACAGCCCCTCCGTACAAACTGGTCACACAAAATCATAGCTGTAGATCATCATCGATCCAAAGGTGATTTCGTTTTTTAGATTTGTAACAAACTAACTTCGAATAGTGCCTAAAACGCCATAGTTGTCTTATTTGATTCTTCCAAAGCCCTAACTACATTCAATCTAAAAGGCTATTTTCCACACTTTTGGTGTCCACCACGATTCTGCACAAGCATATGATTTTCGAGGAGTGAATGGCTCTAGGCAAAATACCAGAACTAAATTAATCAACCTTTTGGATCACATTCATAATTTCAATTTCTTCCTTATATATATTCCCATTAAAAGCATTAATTGGTATTTGAATTGCAGCTTTATCCAAACGCAGTAGATTTCGGCATCCTGACGGTACTTTTCCTAAACACCATAAGCCAAATTGGTACCAAACTAATTTCCCTAAGAAACTTGAGTTCAATGTAGCTTTTCGGTTAGACCCTTAGAATTAAAAGTTAACCAACTCAGGGAAACAAATTACAGCTTTATTAGTGGCTACTAAAGGTTATGCAAACAAGTTGCAAAAAGGTGTATAAGACGGTAGTGCAGCCTATTGTAAGAGTCACGCCTCTCATCAATGATTTCAAAAAGTTGCATGAAATTAGGACTCATCAAGGTAATGAAAAGTTTGAACAATAAAGGAGATGCATCAAAGCCTGATGCACCTTACGGCATATAAAAATAAAACGCAAGGAGGTCAAAATGAGAAGACATTATTTACATGAATTTAAATGATATGTAGCTGGCTATGAAGTTACAGCACACTTAGTTGTTCATGGATTAACAGTAAATTAAAACTGTTATCAAGACTGCCCAAGATCTATTAACCCTCATGGTTCCGTGTAACAAATGCAAGTGTGAGATGGTCAGCAACATGCGCGAAATTGGAGCTATAATGGAAATTCGTTTCAAATCTCTGGAACTAATATATGAGGAAAAAGATATAGGTCGCGAAATCGGCGGTAAAAAGCGAAGTCCTTAAAAATGGAAGGTATCGCAGGCACATTGTCAAAAGTGGGCTTAGACAAGAAGAAACACGTGCAAATCACATGAACGATCTCATAAGACTTATAGCGCGATTTAAGACTCAAGTCTTTGAATGCAGAGGCTAAACACAACGTTAGGTGGTTATGAGGTCGGTGAGCAAGGCCTCCAAGTGCGGCCGCGCTAGTTCGGACTAAGTGATGGTGTTGGAGATGGCCGAACACCAGGTATAAAACAGATTCGTACCGCTAAATTCACAAATTTTGAAAACGCACTCACGGATGAACTCGACATGCTTATTACCTTTTTTCAAATAGCTAATCGAAATCCCCCGTTATGGTGCTTGATAAAAGCAAAGTCAAAGCAATTTCAATTTAAAACTGTGTGGCGCTTAATAGAGGCCGAGACTTACGCGTAATAGTTTCGCCATGGTAAATGAGAAAAGGAGGAACCTTCTCACCGGCTGCATTGGCTGCACCGATAATTGCGACAGTGGGGCTCCAGTAACTGACGGACTGAGCGCGTTGGATACCAATAGGGAGGATTCGAGGGGGCTGGTTCTCACAACTTATGCTCACTTCATCAACTACCCACATGTGCTCCGGTTTATCCTTGATTCCATACTTCGTTATTACCTGCATAGATTCGATAATCAACCGCAATATACGGAATAGCATTAATTTGGCAGAAGTTGCATCAAAACGAGCAAATATCTAAGCCGTAAAGCTAGACCAAAATCATATCAATTGTGTAATTCATCTCTTGCCCCAAGCGAACATAAACAGTAAAAGTGCAGCGAAGTGAAAGTGAAATAACATCAGTTTAAAGTCCTAAAGCACGAAGAAGTGTTCATTAAGCTCTTCTAGAAAATGAGTAAAAGTTTACGGAATCCTATTGTAAATGCACTTTATACTTTCGTCCGATCTACGACAACAGATTTGAGAAAAAATTTAAATGCAACCTAAACGCAACATTAGCTTCTAGGAACATGAAATAGACGAAACGATAAGAAAAGAGCTCACTTGTAAAGTTGCACATGAGACGGCAAAAATTATAAAGTCAACTTTTGCTTGAGAAAATGGCCTTTGGCATTTCAAGTTACTAATATGTTGCTAGTACAGTCGGGAAAAGGCGTTCTTATGCAAAACAAAATGCAAACGGAGACATGAAAATTTAACGATGGATAACACCAGTTAAATGAGTCCCAAATTGAGCCACTCAAGTAGGAAGCTAAATTGCCTAAGCACCCTACAGACAAACAGCTTCTCTAAACTAAACTAAAGGCACGCACCTAACCCAAATGAATCGCATACAACGCAAAGCTAAATTGCTACTAAATACTTTGGCGGCGCATATCCAATAGTTAGGGAAGAATGTGAGCTGAAAAACATTTCTCACTTTATCAAGCTGCTCGAAATAGGCTTGTATTGCATCGCCAGAAACACCTTTTGATTTTCTGTTAGTTCGCGGACCAAAGAGAAAATTTTTCAAATCAGGCCAGCGGTTAAGGAAAGCATAAAACCATGCCTGACTAGGATTTAGGTATTTAAATGGAGCGATTCGTCCCACTGCCTTCGTCATATCTCCTGCCAACTCCACAACCTTGAAATGAAAAATTTTGTTTCAGAAAACCAAGAAAGCGGAGAGAAGAATGTCGGTTGTTTAAAATTAATCATAAATATTTGCAGTCTGACACCAAAACTTTTACATGTTTTATGACCCAAGTAAGTTGGGCCTCCTAAAATTAGGCTAAGTAATGCCAGCGTTCAAAGAGATCCAAGACAGGAAACTAACCTGATTTCGCGTATACGGATATCCTATTTTACTCATAAAAAGTATGTGATCAACCATTTTCTTCTCCTCTTCAAAAGTAAAAAAAGTGGGAGGGCCAGGCCTTGAACACTCCAGACTGACTCTCCCATGAACACGATCACGAAGAGTGGATTCGGGAACATTAAACGCCGTTGCAGCACCGCGAAGCGACATACCCTGGTACTTTACTGCATTATAGGCGTTAGTCATATCGCGTTGAGTCCATCGACGTCTACGAGACTAAAACTCGAGTATAGTCCAATGAACACACCAAACCTTCTGTCTGAATGGTGAATGGGAACTGAGCCCATCCAACTCCCGATACAAAACTATCTGCCGAAAGTCATCAGGAGCAACGTCCATAGCGTCATCGGGATCTTGTTCAAATGTCTCATCCGAATACTCTTCCTCTACCATCATGACCCTTTAAGAGATTCCAGACGTAGTTTAAATTGCAAATGACCATAACGAAGAAGTAGCATGCAGGATTATAAGCAAAATCCGCAAATTAAAGTTTAGATTCTAGCCTAATAAGTCAACTATAAATGGTGGCAACCAAAGGCATGTGTACCAAATGCATATTTGGAGCAGATATGGTACGAATCCAGAAGTATGATCCTGCAAAGCAAGCACCGTCTTTAAAAATCGTTTAGAAGCCATAAGTGCTACGAGTAGGTAAACTACATATAGATAGAAGCCAATGATATGAATTGGTTGAAGCTTTGAAGGTTATTCCACAAAAAAGCAAAAATACGTAAAGAATCGAAATTAATTAGTACGGTATGGTATACATTACAAGATCAAAGACCCAGTCATCAAACAACTATCAAGTAAAAGCACTGTACAAAAAGGAACCGAACAAAAAAACCCATGCACCCATGTGGTTGTATATCCTTAAGCAATTTTCGCATTCATATGCAAATAAGAAAATGAGATAGAAATGTATTACAGTTCAATGCGTAAATGTCCAGAGAAAACTAATATTACCTATTATATACAGCAATTGAAATCCGAAGATTGACCGAAAATATATAAGTTCTTCAACAACACCGCCCTTTACCTCGTCAAAGGAATAGGAGTGTAACATAACAAAATTAAAATGTTAACTACTGTGAACAATAACAAAAAAACCATTTCAGCAAATAATTTCTTATCTAATATCCTCTATTATTATATTTGTTTCTCTGGTTCACAATTCATTTTTACTTCATTGCTTAAACTTAACGATTCCTAAAAAAACTTAATATAAGATTTATCGTAGCTAAAACCGTACAAATTGACAATAAAATCTAGTCAATTGCTAGCACGTGTTCCGTGATTTTGAAGTAAAATTTTCCACTAGCTACGTTTCATAGAAATCCGAGAATGCTTATAATCCTCTTTTGAAATATATCCGCCACTTTGTGCTCAAGACTTTGTTGTAGCGTCCCGAGGCTTCCAATGGGGTAGTAGAAGGCATAAGTGCGGTTGAATGCATGTATTCCGAAAGCAATAGGAGAAATGGGCCTGAGCGTAACCCGAAGGCCAGCCCACGTGCACAGGGCCCAGACAAGTCCTAAAGTGCTCCCAAACGTCAGATAGTCGCATAAACAAAGCATTACACTTGTACCTTTAGCTCCTGGTTTACTATTTAAGCATTACCTTTTTAAGTATAAGCATAAAATCTGTCTTTTGGCTGTTCTTTTATGCAAGCGAGACTCATCTGCTGTGTGCTTGAGGCGAAATTAGGAACCTCTCGTACTTGAGAGCTGTCGGAGTTAATGGTATTCGGCATCCGCGTCTACAAAAAGTTCCACTATAACGCTGTCAAGGCTTGCTTTAGTAAGTCTGTAACCATCTCATCCACTTTACTATGCCTATCTGTAATGTATGGCCATTGACACATTCCCTCGTAGTGGAGTGCAGCTAAATGGGCATTCGCTGTAGAGCCTGCCGGCCTACCCTTGGGCCCTTGTTTAGCATTTCGAGGCTTCCCATAGGGTGGAAGAATGCAGCCTGTGAGGAAGGATACATGTATTCCGAAGAGAACAGAGCAAATGGACCTGAGCACGGCCTGAAGGCCAGCCCACAGGTACAATAGCCAGACAGGTAGTCACATAAACAAAGCATTACACTCTAAAACCTCGGATTTCGGAAGAAGTTAGTCGCGAAAGCTTTATTGGGCATCGTTTACTATAAGAAAGGAAATGGGGGGAGGGAAGGTGAGACGGAAAGCAGATGTCATCCTGGGAAGGAATCTTCACATTTCCCGCGAGCTATAATTGCAGTTGAACTTATTTCCCGTGTTTCTCCTTTAAGGGCGAACTTCAGTACACTAATGTATATTACAGTTATCTCCAAGGTTTTTAACAAAAAAATTCTTAATGGTCTATTCGCATTATTATCCTTCTCTCTCCAAGGTAGCGTTCAAAGGATCTAGCCATTGAAAGGATAGTGAATAACTCATGTACTGCCGTACTGTAAAAAAAACCTATTTATCTGCAACTTTGGGACCGGCAGAG